AGTTTTTCCCCTCCTACCAAATTTTTTTTTAAAATTTTTTTTTTTTTTGACAGCAAAAAAAACCCTGGGGGGGGGGGGGGGGGGGGGGGGGGGGGGCTATATTGAAAACAAACCTAACAATAGCGCCGTGTGTGTAAATGAACCACAACAAGGCTCACCTGTTGTCGGTAAACATAGCAGGCTGCTATGGCGACCATTGTGGACTCGCCGATGAAGCCGGCCAGCAGGGAACCCACCCCCAGGGTGGCCCCGTGAACCCTGCGACACGCAAACAATCAGCACGGAAAGCGTGGCGGCGGCCGCAGGCGGACGTTACGTACCCCATGTAGGGCAGCACCACCAGGCTGGTGATGAGGACGACGATGCGCAGCACCGAGCTGGGCGCCAACACGAACGTCTTCTTCAGCGTCATCAGCCAGCCCGTTAGGTGGGCCCGGACCGTCACTGCGCACACAGTAGAAGCGGTGTCAGCCAGCAATAGCTGTTGAGCAATCTTTTGACATGTTCAACGATAGCCAGCACGTATAAAATGTCGACACACCCCTGTTCAAAGGCCAGGTTTTTGTGAGGTTGGAAAAAAAATGGGACCAACAAAAATTGTTTGGGTTTATTCCGAGGCACTTTTAAACTACCATTTAATTGGAGTCTGTCTGTTGTTTTTGGGTCCCCTCTGTAAAATCTTTCACTGCCATTCAATTGAGCTTTGGAACGATTATCTCTCGGTCTCACTCGTTTCTCTGGTGACAGCTGTCGGGTTGAACAAGGGGGCGTGTCGACCTGTCGGGTCCACTGTAAATGGTTTGTTGACCTGGTAGCGGGAAGAAGGAGAAAATGCGAAGGGGCACCACACAGAGCATAGCGAAGGGGTACTCGACGCCGATGACGTCCACCAGGATCTTCTCGGAGACGTGCGGGCTCCAGAAGACCACGAAGCAAAGCTGCACACACGCGTAAAATTGCATAACTCAACATCTGCAGTTTTTGCGTCTCATGTGCTTCCTTGAATGACTTGATTGCCTTGACAGGTGGCCTTTAAGATGAATTTAAAATTGGCTAACAGTTTATTCCCGTGAAACAAAACCATAAATGTGAAAGAAGAAAAGCTTGAGGTGTGACGGCCGGCAAAGTGTTTGGGTCCTCACAGTCTGAGCGTTATTTAGGCCAGCAGGCGGCGGAGACGAGACGCCAGTCAGTGCTTGACGGCGGCGGCTTTTCTAAAAGGATGCTTCGGATTTGTCGTGAACAAGTCGCGGCATGCGGAAAGGCACACACATGCCTCATAAGCAAGGGGGGGGGCTGTTTCTCTTACTTTGCTTATTGAGCTAAGCGTAAACATGAACCTTTAAGACACAAAGCAAAAAACAAGGTGTCGGATCTGGAGGGTGTGCTTGTTTTCACCACACTCACCAGCAGCTTTTGGAATGTGTCACGTGCTAGGTTTTATGGATAATGGGACATAACCTCCGTGGTGAATTCCACGATTTTTTTTTTCTTCATATAGCGGGCGCAACCCGACACCTCCTGCCAGAGAACGCGACAAACATCCGGGCAGGCCGTGTGAGCGGACGGGCCGCCCGCTTCCTGTACGCTTTTCACATGACAAACGGCAGACACGTTGACCTCGTCGCCCGGTGTTTGCTCAGTTCAGGCCTGCCGCGGCTCCTTTTGGCCACTCGGCACTTTTGGGGGCTCAAGCGAAGTCCAGATCGTATGAGTCGGTGCCCGCTTGTGTCAGGAGACGTCAAGTTGGCTTGCACCGTCTTGTTTACGCTGAATTGCCCCATCCGAGCCGCTGACATTGACGCCAAGTCAGCACTAAAGTTGTCAGACGACCCGAGCAACCCTTCTCCCCCTGCGTTGTGTTGAAGGCATTTAATTCACTGGCTTTTTTTGTGTGCGTGTGCGTGAAATGCAGCTCGAGAGAGTTACTGGATTTGGTGCCGTACTCGATTGAGGACGGTCGGGCCTTAACGGAGGCCATCCTCGACCACTCGCATGTTTTTTGAGGAAGTCGGTTTGTGGTGTCAAATCAGAATTTTGAGTACGATTTCTTCATCTACTTCTCTCTTTTTTTTTTTAAATTTAGTTCCCCATTTAACATGAGACGTCCGAGCGCAGTACAGAACACATACTACAGACAGGCATCTTAAAAATCCATTTACGTAAGCATGAAGTCCGGAGGCTGCGCCTCTGGCAATATGCAACCGTCGCGATTCCGCGGCGGAATGAATCTTACCGTGAGCGAGAGGGCCAGACAGCAGAATGTAAACTTTTTAATATGCGACTTTGTCACGGGTGTGCCGGCGTTCAGCTTGTTGCTGGGGTTGTTCTGCCGAGGGATGACAAGGACATGTGAGCGCAGACATCCTCCGGTCATCGTGTTGGTGTAAAGTGCGGTGTACCTTGTCGAAGGCGGGATACACGGCTCGCAGTTCGGTTAACCAGCCGTAGGGCATGTGACCCACCGGGTATGTCGCCGTCAGCACGGCCACTGCCTGCCAAGAAAAGACGACGCAGTGTCGCCTGTGAGCAGGCTTGGAAAGCACTGGCATTATGTAATCACTGAGAACCTGTACAATACTGTCATGGAGATACAAAACAAAATAATAATACTTCCACTACTCCTGCCAGTAACTTGAGTAAGATGCAATAATAATAGTCATTTTTCCTGGAAGAATATATGCCTGTATGGTTGTATTATCTGTTGCCGTGTGTTGCTCCACCGTTTGTGTTCAAAATGTTGAAAAACGGCAACTGTCAGCGTTAACTGTTAGCGTGTCAGTGGCGTTTTGCATTGATTGTTAGCATTGAGCTTTGCGGAATTAAGTTGTTTCAAGGTGTCATTCTCTCTGATGTTTCTTGGGGTGAGAGTGGCAAAAAACGGCTTGCACCGCCGTGGTCTCGATACGGCCTATTTTCCCATATTGCGGTGAGGTGTGTAACCTATGCGCCGGGGTTAACGGAGCTTGAGTGTATTGTCATTAGCCCGCTTGCTGAAATGACAATAGGAATTGCGGCTGCATACAATATGCGAGTTGTTGTTGCTGTTATTGTGACGTGCGGGCGAGAGATGAGAGGCGGGCCAGGTAGGAATGTGTTGCCGCTCACTTCCAGGCCATTCCGGCAAATAGCTTTGTGGCGCGCTTTTGGCCACACGCTTGCCAGAAAGCTCCGGAGGAAGTTTGTTGGCGTACGCGCGCGGAGGCTTGAGTTATCGCCGCCGCCAAGCTTCAACTTTCAAGTCAGGCGTACTCGAAAATACACTTTTCTACCAAATTCGTTGAGACAAAAGCTGAATCAAAATGCACAAAGGCTTTTTTTTTTTAACTTGTGAAGGGGACAAAAATAACGCAATCACTCTCAATGGGAAATCGTTGCAGAACCTGAAACACAAGTAAGACTATTTCCAATGGGTTTTTACTGAAGAGTAATTAAATTTAGGCATGTCCGATAACACCTTTTTTTTTTCAGTCCGATAGCGGTACAAACTGTTCCTTCTTGAATGCCACAAGTACTTATGTTGCGTAAAATTTCAATTAAGATGAATCCATTTGTTATTTGTACCGCTTATCCTCACTCGGGTCACGGGTGTCGTGGAGCCTATCCTAGCTGTCTTCGCTAACAGATAATTAAAGACATTCCTGTCTTTCTGACGTGCACAATGACTCCACCAATGTGCCAAACCGCTGCAGTGTAGCAAGGAAGATTTACTCCATGTCATTTTTTGGGGGGGCTTTAAGTATCCTGTGGTTAGTATCGACCCAATAATGAGACCTGCTATCAGTACTCGGCATCACCAATTGTTTTTTTTGTTTTTTTTTGGGGTAAAAGCTGCTGTTCATCAAATAAGTGGGTTGGCCAACTGGATTGATTGAAAGAAAAAAATTCCAAACTTCTGAATATTTGTTGGGGAAAAAGGAAAGGAGCGCCAGCACCTCCGTAGCTTCAGTGGTCCCCTTGAGGTCTCTTGACACGAAGAGGTTGACAATGGGCCTGCTGATGCGCTGGGTTGCCAGGATGAGCGCAAGCGGCCACCAGAAGCTCAGCATCTTCTTGATGGTGGCGTCACCCTGCCGAACAAAAAAAAACAAAACATCAAAACCCGGCGTTCTCCTTCTCGCCTTCCTCCGAAACTTACCCCGACATCCGGGCCACTGGAGTCCGGGATGGTGTCGTGGATGTTGCAGTAGTAGCCCAGGCCCACGATGCTGAAGCGGACCAAGGCGCCCATGTAGAGCGAGAGGATGGGGATGAGGAGGGGCTCCACGCACTCCAGGTTACTGTGCAGCAGGATGGCCACAAAGACGATCTGAAGCAAGAGCGCACGGCAGTCAACCACACGCGCCCCAAAAATGGTTGCAGCCTTCCCACTGGCACACTTTCAGTCTTGCCATTACGCCACTTCTTATCTCTGAGGTCATTGCAGAGAATTGCCCAAAGAAGCCACAAAGACGGCAGCGAAGCGCTTCTCTTCCGTGAGACGCGGCTATGGCCTGACTAAATCAAGCTCCTCCCCTCACTTGAGATTACCTTCTTGGCGCCAAAGCAATACTTATACATTAGACAGGGGTTTGGCCTTAACACACAAATGAAGACTGGGTTTGTTGCTCAGCAAATAATGAAAGATATCTTACCAAAAAAATGTTTAAAAAAATTCTGCAAAGAAAGGTTTTATACCTGTGCCACGACGTCGGAGATGGAGGCGGAGCCCACGATGACGCTGAACTTATGCTTGAGTAGGATCCCGGCGTGAATCCACGCCTGGACGCACAACAAACGCACATTTTACAACCAATCCCGACTTGTGACGCTGCTACACTGGCTCCCTCTAGTGGCACACAAAAGAATCGCTCAAACCGCTGAATTTTGTTTACACTGGCTTCAGTCATATTTGAACCCAGTACAGTATGTTTTTTTCAAAGTACAGTTCAGTTGTATTAAACTTTAAAAGTACAACATATTTGCGATTAATCTGCTTGTATTCAAACATTAGATACCATTTTTTTAACATGCATTTACATGCAATACATATTCTTCTTCTTCTCCTTTCGGCACGTCCCTTTTCAGGGGTCGCCACAGCGAGTCATTAATTCCCATCCGTCCCCGCAAACCGCCCTATCAACTCGCATGTCCGTCTTGGCAAAAGTTTTACGCCGGATGCCCTTCCTGACGCAACCCTCCCCATCTCTCCGGGCTTGGGACCGGCACCGGGGAACAGTGTACCCCCAGGGGAGGGCACTGCACCCCAGCGGCTGGGTTTACATGCAATACATATTAATAGAATTTTTTTTTTTCAGTACAGTTTTCTATTTTTTAACATTCAAACTGCGGAATAGTTGCTTACAACAATAAGCAATGTTTGATATCACTGTTTTGATATCAATACTAGTATCGGTGTCAAACTGCCAAAGAGGACTGACTCCATCTCAGATTGGTACAAAAGATTTTTTTTGGAAGACGGTAGTTGTAAAAACGCATTCACCATCGCGTCCAGTAGAGGGAAAGCGGCCAAGTAGAGGAAAGCCTTCCGAGTTTTATGGCCCACAGACTCGTCCACATGGTGGAGCTTGTTAATGATGTAGTAGCCCAGGTCCGTATAGGCTACAGCGTGAAAAACAAATCAGTCATCAGTCACAGTAACGAGTGGCTCGGATGCCTCGTAGCGTTTTTATTTTCGGTCAGTGTGAATGCGTGTGTGTTTTTGAGCAAGCCACCTATCAAGATGTGCAGCACGAAGGCGATGGCGCCTGCCGCCGCCATGCACAGGACAGCTTTCTGGCGGTCGCGCTTGCTGTTGACGAAGACCAGGCCCACGTTCTTGAAGTCGCTCATGGGGCCCGTGAAGAACTTCATGAGCGAGTAGGCCAGCCCGTAGCTGGCCAGCATCTCTACCGCATCCTCCTTGACCGTGGCGATGCCCCTGTTGAGCGCCTGCACCGTCACGAACAAGACGTCACACTTTCGATAGCTTTGGGATCCAATCGCATTGGGGAGGGGCTTGGGGGACACTGCTTAACCAACAATTTGCAGGACATTAATTCTTGTAGTCTAACAATCCAAAACTGATAAACTGTCTTTATGCTTGAAAATATGACAATTTTATTCAAATTTATTTCCTCAAAAATATGGTATTAAATACATTGCAATTACATTCTTGTAGGTATGTTGGATGTATGTTTAAAAAGTAAGGCTTTTTTTTTTTTAATTGAAATGATTACTCTTTTCTCTTGTTAAAAAAAGAATTCGGCCTTTATTCTCAAAGTTTTTTTTCCTCCTGCATTTAGGAGTGCATGCGGAAATTGGATTATTTATTTATTTGTTCGTTTGTTTGGGACTGGGCGTTGAGAAAATGTTTCCCCCAGGACGCCAAGTTTGAGAACCTTGAAGTAAAGATAAGGAACTGGTGGCCTAGACCGAGGACTCCCTCCCCTCGCAGCTGCCCTTTCCCTTTTTGCACAAGCCCCGACTGTGCTATTTATACCAGCAAAACTGAAGCATTACATAAGCTTAATCCCTACCTACATCTCTCTCTACTTGGTCTTCTTGCTCACTCCCTGAGTCTTTTTCTCGGGGAGGGGCAGGTAAAACAATGCCCCTCAACCCTGACCGACCCCCCCCCCCCCCACACACACACACAAACAAGCATCTCCACACGTCACCGCCTAATTACTGACTATATACAGAAATGTATATAGAAAGTGGGTGTAGGCTAGCATTTAGGAGTGCCGTTGACAACGTCGTTTGCCATTTTCTGGCGTCAAGTAGCAACCGTGCATCGTTAGCATTAGCCGCCGATGCTAACAAGCAGCTTCCTGCCTCCCGGAGGGAGGAAGGCGGAGGTCGGGGGGGGGGGGCGTTCTCGCTTACCTGCTCGCCGAGGTCGATGGCAACATTGGTGATCGCAAGAGGCACCAAGAAGCGAAGAAGCGGCCAGTAAGGGCTTAGGGACGGGAACTCCACCATAGTAGAAGCCGGGCTGACAGCGCTGCAACGGGCATCTGCCTCGCTCTCGGGGTTGGTGGAGCTCTTCTGCTGCTGCTGCTGCTGCTGCGGCTGCGGCGGGGGGGTCGAGGGGGCGGGAGGCGAACGAAGCCGCTGGAAAGCAGGCGAAGCACCCGGGAGTCCCGCGGCGGGCAGCCGACGAGGCGCTCCAGCTCCGGCGGCTGCGGCGGCGTCACAACGGTGCGTCGGTGAGTCCGAGCGAAGCAGGCGAAGGTCGGCGGAAGGCTGTGAGCGCGCGCATCTTCCTCCTCGCGAATCATCACCCGGGTGGGGGGAGGAGGAGGAGGAGGAAGGGGACGGAGGGAGGTGACATCTCACTGCACGCAGCTTGAGCGAGGAGGACCTTCAACCCACTTGCACAAACACGCACGCCCATGGAAAGCCGTTGGAACATGCCAGCTTCATGTACTAGTGAGCAGCACTATCAACAATTTTGTTTTGACACCACTGTATGACAGTTATGCACACCATCCGCTAGGGCCTTTGCAATATACTCTGGCCCCCCCATAGTGAATCATGAAGCCCCCCCCCCCCTCCTACTTCCATGATGCTATTTTATTGGGTATATCATCTTCTCATCCCAATATCTATCGGGCAATTTGCATCCAACAGAAATAAAAAAACATCACGTGGAGTTCCCCAAGGGTCAATTCTTGGTCAACTTAATTAATCTCTGAGTAGTATGTGTGCATTTATGCCGACGTGTCCTGATCACCTATGTTGGCAAATGTCTACTAGTATATGATAATGTTTCCTGTTTTCAATTTGAAAAGCTCTGAACTTTTAGGTTTGTGAAGCCCTTGCCTGTTTTCTACTTGTTTGTAACCACTGTAAAGATTACCAATGATAATTTTCTGTATCGTGTTATTATTGCGAGTGGCATGTCTTTGTCTTTCACACCGGATGGAAGCCAAAAAAGGCAATAAAGAGAGAAAGTTATGTTAAGGTCATCCGAGAACAATATGTCTTCTGATCCCGGCTTCTCAAGCCTGCGCACAAAATTGCAAAGTTGACACAAGTGCGACCGAAATAAATGCTTACTAATCCAAAAAGTGAGCGCTTTTGTGCCAAATATCCCCCATTGTGTAACCGACAACCTTGACTTATGCCCTGTGACCGGACATACGCTGCTCAGTGTAAACACCCGAGCGTATTATATGCTGAAGCACACAAAAAAAAAATGCACTAATGGGCTATTATGACAAATGTATGCCAAATATGCCTTCTCATGTGCAGACTTCTACCTTGTTTTTTTCCCCATGACTTGTAACAACGTGGCTTTTTCAGCTGTGTGTGTCTGTGTGTGTGTGTGTGTGTGTGTGTGTGTGTGTGTGTGTGTGTGTGTGTGTGTGTGTGTGTGTGTGTGTGTGTGTGTGTGTGTGTGTGTGAGAGAGAGAGAGAGAGGGACAGGCACAGTATGTGTTTACAAAAGTTCTTCAATCCCTGGGTGAAGAATTGTTTTTGCCTGTGACTGCAGCCTGAGAGCACTGGCACAGTCATTGGTGACTTTTACGAGCCTTTGCTTTTCTTCGCAGCTCTTAAGAAAAGTTAAGTAAATTCAGCTGTTTGCACAGCAGTGTGGAAAGATTTGAAGTAAACACAGGCAGGCGGAGTTGCCTTTAAGGCAAGTAAATTCCACTAATTACCTCGATTTGCTCTGAGATCACCTTGCGTACATGCAAAACAAATAGCTCACCCGACACAATATTCAGTACACACTTGCACAAGCAAATGAACTTACTGCTCAATTCTGATTGTGAATTTTTTTTAACTTTCACTTAAAAACTATACTAGAAAAATTGAAATTTTAAAAATATTTTTTTCAGTAGGTGGCACAGTGGTCGTCTGGTGAGCACATCCGCCTGAGGTCGAGGGTTCGAATCCGGGCTTCGGCCTTCCTGTGTGGCGTTTGTGTGTCTGCGTGGGTTTTCTCTTGGTACTCTGGGGTACCAAGAGGAAACCTCTCCCACACCCCACCCCCCAAATAAATGCATAGTAGGTCCAATAGATGTGAGTATAAATCTGAAGTGTTGCTTGTCAATGTGTGACCTGTGATTGGCTGGCAACCGGTTCAGAGTCCTTCCTTGGGTTGTGCTGTCCCTCCCAATTAGTGAATGCAAAGTAATTAAAAAACGGCTACATTTGAAATGAGTCATGAATTAAAAAGCGTCAATGATGATGCCAGGCTGAAATCCAAAAGCAAGCCCAGTCAAGTTGAGCGTTTTAGATGATGAAGGATGACATCTAGTGGCAGCTCGAGACACACTTCGTTGAAGCCTTCCCCCTTTTTACTGCAGGTTTCTGCTGTTCGTCCTCAAGCAATAAAAACGAAGAACATTTTCTTGAAGAAAATCGCTCAGTGACTCTTTCAATGCATTGAGTCACTTGAGCTCAGTTTTATTCATTTATGTAAACGTGTTTATCGGAAATATTTTTTAATGATCTCAAATGTTTAAAGAAAAAGGAAGGCAGCAACGATGGTCTGAAGGAAAAAAGGAAGAAAAGAGTAAAGGGGACATGGATGGTAATTTAAACAAGGATGGAGGAAGGAAGAGGATATATGATGGAATGATCGAAGGAAGACACGTGATACGGGGGGGCGAGGTTCAGAATAATGGAGTCCTTGAATTACGCAATTGTTGCAGTAGCACGCAGGTGGCGCCAGGGGGTGCTCCAAGCCTGACAAATCTTTCTGTTTTGAATTGGACGCGTCAATTCGCCGCGTTCCAGAACTGCGACACTTTACACGGCCGATTTGCTTGTATGACTTTGTCCCTGCTGTTGATGAGCGACAATCCGCCTGACTTGGAGCCGAGGTCTGGCGAAATCGACGTCTTTTCCGAGGTAACACTTCCATTTCTGCACCGGCATTTTGTCCCGTGTGCACCTGTTTCGCCTGTAAATGCTCGGTCTAAAAGCAAGCCACTATGTGTGTGTTTTTTTTTTTTTTTTGGTGCAAGAATAACGTTTCGTGATTTACTAACAAAGTTGTGTGCAATATTAACAACTGTGACTGCACAATAAATCAAACGATATCACTTTTCACGCTGCATTAATATGACTCGCATGCCCCCAGTCAATGGAGCCGCCGTTTTACAACGGCCACGCCCATTTTTTGCTGCTTGTACCTGACGCACTACGTAAGATAGTACCCTGAAAAAGCTCATAAAAAGTCAGATTTTCACGTCGAAATTTATGTTGAGCTCCACGTAGGGGTCGGATATCGAAGTGAAGTGAACATCGAATTCTCTATTTCGAGGTACGTTTTTCGTATGAGGAGGAGGCGAGGTGGGGGGCCAGGCGAGGAGGCGGTGAATAAAGGGGGTAGTGACGCGGCTACTTATAAGCCTCAGTGCTGCGGAGCTCCGCGGTGATTCTCGAAGTGACTCAATCCACTTGGAGTTCGTAAGGCTTCGGTCGGCCGGCTCGTTCGCTGCAACGCCGCCGTCGCCACACATGCGTTTTCACCCGGCCCCGCCGAATTCATGTCCACGGAGGACGCCCAAGGACTAATTTTTACCTTGTTTGTTTTCCGACTTGTCGAAAGCACCACAGGTAAGCTGGGAAGCCCGAAGTGGACACCTGCTGCTCGTGTCGTCACGTTCTACTTTTTTTTCCCGGCTTGAATGAACCTCCATGTTGTCGGCCGCCTAGCTTCCCCACGGCGCCCCTCCAACATGCCGCTCAGCTCGGCTCTGCTGAGTCGGAACTACGACAACGACTACGACTCCCTCCAGCCTTACTTCTACTACGACCACTCGGAGGAGGACTTTTACCCGCAGCAGCCGCAGCCCCCGGCGCCCAGTGAGGACATCTGGAAGAAGTTCGAGCTTCTCCCCACACCGCCGCTGTCGCCCAGCCGTCGGCCGTCACTCACCGGCTTGCCCTACCCGTCTACTGCCGACCAGCTGGAGATGCTCAGCGAGTTCCTGGGCGACGACGCCGTCAACCAGAGCATCATCTGCCACGCCGACTACTCGCAGACCTTCCTCCAGTCTATCATCATCCAGGACTGCATGTGGAGCGGCTTCTCGGCCGCAGCGAAGCTCAAGAAGGTGGTGTCGGAGCAGCTGGCCTCGCTGCACGCCACCCGGAGGCACTCGTCCTCCTCCTCCTCCTCCAACGCCGCCGCCGCCGCAGCCAGCCCTGCAACCGCCGCTCCCTCGGCGGATGTTTCCCCTGCGTCTGCCACCTCAGAATCCGTTTCGACGGGACCCGCTGCTGCGGCCGCCTGGAGGCTAAACAGCAGCTACCTGCAGGACCTCAATACGGCGGCGTCCGATTGCATCGACCCGTCGATGGTCTTCCCCTACCCGGTGGCCGAGACACCCAAGCAGGGCGAGCCACCCAGTCAGCACTTGGGGCTGGACACGCCGCCCAACAGTGGGAGCAGCAGTAGCAGCGACTCTGGTAGGATATCATTGGCATCCTCATTGTCTGGTTACCAAACTGAGGGGCGTGGGCCCATTTCTAGTGGGTCTTGTCTGTCTGTTTTACTCATTTTAGTCCAACTGCTCATCAAGTTTGATGCCATTTTGCCATATATTCCCTTGTTAATGGTAATCGTCGCTTTCTCATATACAACAGAGGTGCAACAGTTGATCTGCTTTTCAAACGCAAACACAATGCCTTCTGCGGACCAAATTGCGGTAGTTCCTCAGACTTAATTGTTCTTCCAGCAACTAAAAAGCACATGCCGATGGATCTATGCAATGCTGTGGACCCCGCCCCAAATATTCTTGGATGTCTCCAAAGCACTACCGCCGCACAGCAGGGGTCTGCATAAATATTTCACACACTTAGCTAGAGACAACAAAGAGCACCGGTTTTCAGTTTGGGGTTTTTTGTAGCTTTTTAAATGTGAAAGCTTTTCGTTGAAAGGAGCAACAGTGTCCCGTCACAAATTCAAATATCTCAGGTGGAAAAGTTTGGGGACGATCAGATTTAATTCTTTGATTTTATGTATATTTTTTATTGTATTTAAAATTATTTTTCAGCCTATTGTGTGTACAGTTTTTAATGAATAAATATCCATGTGAAATGTTTTTAAATGTCAGGTTTTTGTCAATATCTTGAAATATTTAATATCATCCAGTCAGGAGTTTGGCGCCTTGCTTAAGGGTGCGTTGATTTTAAGTGTGATGTATGTTTGTCTTTGTTGTAGAAGAAGATGAGGATGAGGATGATGATGAGGCGGCGGAAGATGATTACGGTGAAGAGGCGGAGGATGAGGAGGAGATCGACGTGGTGACCGTGGAGAAGCGGCAAGCAGTGAAGCGTTGCGACTGGTCGTGCGGCGGCCCCGCCGGCCCCCTGGTGCTCAAACGCTGCCAGGTCTCCACCCAGCAGCACAACTACGCAGCACACCCGGCGGGCAAGAGGCTCAAGATGGAAGGTGGTGCAGGTGGGCTCACTTGGAAATGTCCCATGCCATTTAACTGGACGAAATTTGCACAATTGACACTTGACGCCCCAGTAGAATTTTCACAGAAAAACAAAATTTCATGCCAAATTTGATGCTAGGTCAGCCTGCGAGTCAAGTGAAAACAAAATGGAGCAATTAATACTCTCACTCTCCATTAATGGTTGCCTGATGGCCCTTGGCCAGTCCGGTGCTGTCTCGGGCCACCACACATACCTTACAGAGCTGGCCCGAGCGGGCCAACAAAAATGTTGTCATTTCATCATATTATTTATGATGAAATCAACACACTTGCTCATTCGACATGCAAAACGACTTGAGAGAAATATCTTCAGTCTTAAACAGGATCAAGATGCAAAATAATCACTGACATTTATAGAAGATGAATATTTGGCGCCAGTACCGTTTGTCACAGGGCTGTCATATCGTGTCTCAATGGGGCACCAAAAGGCCACTCCTCGAATAGGCGCAATGTTGGACCTTTATCTCTCTCTCTCTCTTCTGTCCTTCCAATGTTTCTTTCCCTTGTTTTTTTTCTCTTCTTTTTCTTTCATGGAAACTGATGTACCCCCCCACACTTTCGCCCCTCAGTGTGCGGAGGCGCCAGCCAGAGCCGCGTGCTGAAGCAGATCAGCGGCAACCGCAAGTGCTCCAGCCCACGCTCCAGCCCGTCGGACTCGGAGGAGCACGACAAGCGTCGGACTCACAACGTGCTGGAGCGCCAGCGTCGCAACGAGCTCAAGCTGAGCTTCCTGGCGCTGCGTGACCAGATACCCGACGTGGCCAACAACCACAAGGCGGCCAAGGTGCTGATCCTCCAGAAGGCGGCCGAGTGCGTCCGAGGCATGCAGGCCGACGAGCGCCGCCTACTGTCGCTCAAGGAGCAGCTGAGGCGGCGAGGGCAGCTCCTCGCGCACAAACTCTCCGCGTTGCGCCACCATCCCGTTTAAGTGGTGCTCGCCGCCGCTGTCGTCTTTATTTGTTTGTTTGTTTGTTTGTTTTTTTAACACAGGCTGTACTGTACAGTTGTTTGCATGCAGATACAGAAGAAAAAAAGATGCTTGGAATCTGCTTTAATTTCAATGTTAAAACTGCCTCAATTGAAGTTATGGGTGGGTTCAGATATTTAAAGTTTATTTTTATTAAGAAAATGTCAGGAAAAATGCGGCCCTACGGTTTTATAGCAGGGGCCCAAATTAAAATACAATTTTTTTTATGTTTTTGTACATATTAATATTTCATAAGAAAATGTATTTTTGGATCTCAATTGTCTGGATGTTCAGACCCTGTTTTTTTTTTTTGCATTCTGCTCTTAGATTCCCTTTTTGACATATAAAACCAACAATGTTTCTTCTAATGATTTTCAGCCTGTTTTCTTGCCACGCGTCAACATTCACAACATGGCAAGAGCAACAAAATTGTCCGCTACGCCACATGGACAATTTTGCCAACACTTTCAAACTGAACATGCACTTGCATAACTGCTGTGAAATCAACTGTTTGTGTTTTGTTTTTTTTTTAATTTTAAATAGGTGATTGCCAGTTGAAACCGAGGAATGTAAATGTTTCCAATTTTTGAAGACACAATCCAATCTCTCCGCTATGAGGGTGATTGATCATGAAGAAGTAAAACTACTCTAGTACTGTCATTAAAAAAAGGCAATCAAAATGAGTAAAAAAAAAAACAAAAAAAACAACAAAAAACATTTCGTTCATGACCAACTGTTTAGCAAACCACGGAGATTGCTTAGTCTCAATTAGCCGCGCATAGCACATTGTTAGTCACTTGTTGCTAGGCAGAGCTCCTGCAGGCTCCATCGTCACTGATCCAAAGAAGTCTGTCATTGTTTGGATTTATTCCAATATATATATAGAGAGAGAGAGAGAAAGAGAGAGATTCCAGCGAGTTCAGTAGATCAATTACGAAGATTACCTTTCCTCGTGGAAATGTACAAAATGTAATTAATACACATTCATTGGCGAACAAAAATCTGTATTTCAGGATATAGAAACACATGTAGGCAAGTTATGGCAACAATCGCACAATAATAATCACATTTTTCATCTAACACATTTTCATTTTTGCGAATGCAGAGTTGAGGTCACTGAATTGTCTGCTGTTATTTATCAAAGGCCGAAAAGTTGAGAGAGGCGCCTGCTTCACGCTGCTACGTCGGTGTGACGTCATACCCACCGCCCCGCCCTCAGACGTTCGCAGCGCAGCGTGGATTCACGTGCAAGTCAGGTGGAGATTGTTTTTGTCCCGAAACAGCCCCGGAAGGAGAAAGACTTCATTTGGCACGGTGACGGTGTGTTATCGAAGACAAGCGCATGGATGGTAAGAGTGCTCTCAAGATTTTATTTCATGGAGGACTTGGTAATGTCACGTGTAAGGGATTTAATGGATTCAATAACGTTCTTGACACCTCGACTCGTGGAACTCGAAAATGCTGTGTTGTATTTTTGTGCTCCCGCGTGAGCCACGCTGCAGGACCGCTTTGGTGTCACACATGACAAAGTTTAAATCAGTTGGCATCGCAAGACAGGTCGGCGTGCGATTGTAGAGCCGCTTTGTTGCCGATTCAAGCACGAATTGTTGATACGTGGCTGGCAGAACAAGATTTGTATTGGGGTTTTGTTTTGTTGTGTTATGTACATGCTCAGTCCCCCCGACTTCATGTCGTGTCGTGTTGCTGGCCTTGCAATGTGGTTTCGTCTCTTTGAGCAAAGTGCGTCAATTGAGCACAAAAGTCCGCTTGACATGAACGGTGGGAATCGCACAACAACAGTATTAACGCGAAAATAAGTCTGAAATGGCCCATTTTAAATCAAAATAGCCTGACTTGGTGTATTTCCGGGCTTGGGTCCTTGAGGCTTTTTTTGTGGGTCAACTTATGATAGACACGTGACCAAATGTCATGTTTCTATTTGGATTTGGGGGCTCAAATGGCATCTTTAAACAAAAGTGGCTGACACGGTGTGTCTTTTCAGGCGTGGTTTTAAAAAGTGCTCTGAGGTGTCGTGATCTGATCGGCAGGAACCTAGTTCATAACCCGACAAAAAAAGAGTCAGAACAGACCCATTTCTTTACTCTTTTTTTTTTTTTTTTTGGCACTGTATTTCCTTTTCCTGTGAATATTTCAATGTGTCTTCCAGATGTGCCTTGTGTGTGATTTTCCTGGCCGGAATGGATGACGCAGCCCCTCCAGTCATCTTTTTCACACTCGAAGGGGACGCCGACACAAGTTTGTTGTTTCATTCCTTTGACATTTATTCTTGATCCATGTCCGTGGTTGTGGCGCGACCGAGAAATTTGGGCCATTGATGAAATATGATGCGTGTGTGTCACTTGTTTCAGTCATCGGGTTCATTGTAAGTCAAGCCGCTGAATGAATGATGTCACCAGCTGGCCGTGGGCTTTTTTTTTTTAGCATCAACTAAAAGCGGGATGTGTTCACATGATCTGTCACTTTAATCTGAATCGGATCTTTTTTTTTTTTTTTTTTGCCATCATGATTTTAACACTCAAAGTGGAGACCCCACCACTTTGTAGACTGATTTTTATTTTTAAATTAAAAAAAAAAAGTTTGAACATCTTGAAACAAATTGTGGGTTTAGTAGATGTTACACTAAAATGAATCCAGTCCCCAAATAAATTTTTTTTTATTTTTTATTTTTTTTTAATTAAATCAGCACAGTTGAAAAAGAGTACCAAATGATTTGTCTTTACGTTTAGGATTAAAATGAAAATGTGACAAAATTACAATGTGAAAAAGGCTAACATCAACTAATTGCAGTTCAGTTTTTTTTTTTAATCTGAAAAATAACAAAAATATTCACGTTTTGGATCAAACTCAACTCTTTTCAAAAGAAAACAAAATGGGGATTCATGCTTTTGATTTTTGTTGTTGTCACACTCGGAAAATATCAGGCGATGGGTGTTGCGTACGCCGATTCGTGAGCAACCTTCAGCCTGACGCTAGCATTGCTCGCGTCAGGCGGGGTCCTCCTCTGTTTCATCTCTTTGGCCCCGGGCCAAGTGGAAATGCACACAGGGCCGTTTTTCACGCTGCGTCAGCACTGGTGCGCTTTCCCTG